ACGGTTTCATTGCTAAGGTCCTTTGATGCATTAGGTAAAATTAAGCCCATGTTTGATGCCCATTATAGGGAAATTGGGGGAAAGGATATTTTGAATAGTGACCTTTTTATTTATTATTTATTATTTTTATTTATTTTGGAGAATGTGTAGTTAAAAAGTTTTGAGTTTACATGTAGAATATTTTATTGTGGTTGAAAATGAGTTTGAGAAATAAAGAGTTCTGTTTTAATGGGAGTCAAACAGGGCTAAAAATGTTCTAGGAATTTGTGTGCATCTGATGGTTGACACACCCACACCCACACTGGGAGAGAGAGAGAGTGTGTCTGGAATATGCACTTGTGGTATTTGGATCCCCTTTCTCCATTTCTTAAAATTGTTGCTATTTTGTGAGAACATAGCAAGAAAGGGAAATGAACAAGTGGACAATGTGTAGAACAAGACAGTATATAGTTCTGAGGGCCTATATGGATGGACCTTATCCAGTGACAATAATGCTTAGATATCCATTTCATTCCTTTTCTCTTTTATTTTTGGGTGGGGATTATCACATTTTGCACTGCCTTTTTTGCACCCAGTGAGTCCATCAGTCCAATGCCTTGGGAGAGTTTGCAGGATGAATTCCTTGGTGGAACAAGGGAATTTAAATTCAATTCCTTTTGTATTTTTGCTATTGTTGTATGTGGCACTTGGGGTTTCTCACCTTTTTCCTTTTTTTTTTTTTTGTTAGTAAATGCTAATTTTTGCCTTCACTGCTCATTAAACCTTTCTACGTCTTGAATGATGCAGATCACCATTTGGGTCAGCAGCATATCATTCCTTGCGTATGCTGATATTTCTTTTGAGAGTACATCAGATGTAAGTCTTTACATTCTACTAATGACACTGTGAGAAGTTTCTATATGTTAAAATCATGAAACAAAAGATATTTGCATAGTCAACTTTGTTGAATTTCCCATGACGTTCAGAAACAATATGTTGAAATTTAGAATAATCAAAATCGTTTCTACTAGATAATGTTTAGCTATGAAATTCTTCTGTTGCTTTCCCCAATCTCTCTCATTTATCCATTAATCCTCTTTGTTTTAATTGAAAATTAAGGAAAAGGCTGTAATAATATGGGTGAAAATCTAGGTAAGGTATACTTCAAATACATTTTTGGATTTTTCTATCTTGATTTTCCTACACATTATTACTTTTCCTCAATTTCCTAGAAAAAAAAAGGGTTCCAAGTGGAGTTGTCTTGTTGGCAAGATACATCAACAGAACTTTAGAGTTCGATGTTTTTATTATTATTATTTTTTTAAAACAAAATTTCCCAATCATCTGGCAGAGTATATGATCCAAGAACATCAGCAGTTGTTAGGGTACGTGTCAATATCTCAAACCAATGTCGATGGTTAGGAAGACCAAGATACACGAAGGATTAGTAATGGAGATTCTATAAATTATCCAACAGGATATTTCTGTAACTAGAAGGAATTCAAATTGAGGCTTTAAGTTGGTAGAAACTATTAAGTACTCCCCATGATTTCGATCCAGAATATGTTCCTATTCGCTAAAATTCTTGCTGGACGAATCATTTGGTTTCAATTTCATTGGCAATCATATTAATTCATTGATTTCTACATTTAAATGTTGTAGGGAGGCAGGGGTATAACAGATCTGAAATCTTCTCTTCAGGTAATTTTGACCACACATAATTTCACAATCCACTTGATATTCACTGTGAACACGATGTATGTTAACATAACAAATAATCTGTGTCCAACAGAATATTTTTGCTGAGAATCTTGTGGAGAAGAAAGAAGACTTTCTTCAAACATTTTCAACTGAATGTGATTTTGCTAAGTATGATGAATCTGTGACTTCCATTTCTATTTTAGTGTTCACAGTATGCTGCTCATCATTGCTGACACTGGGATTTTCTATTTCAAAAATGGCAATTGTGCAGATCGATTGCCTCAGGTGCAAAAGTATTGCAGAAGAATGCTTCCAATGATAGCAGTGGTGACTCTAGGCTTCCCAAGGAAGAACCTGCTGATATGGAGGTGACTTATGAGCCATATGTTTGTTTTGCATTGATAAAAATATATCCAATACCATATTGACTTCTTTGTCTTTTTATCTTGCTGCCTAAAATTGTTATCTCCTTTCCAAATGCCCATTTAACTTTGGGGGACCTCCAAACTACAATGTAGCAATTGCAATTTGCTATTTCAAGTTACTGATCATGAAACATCAGACTTCATATTGCAATACTTTTTTTTAATGAGACTATTAGTGATTTCCTAACATCTGATAATTGGATCGTTGATTGCTAATGGAGATGTACTTGCTGTTTTACTTTGAAGTAAATTTAAAAATTGCTTACATTTCATATCCCTATCAAGAAGGCCTTTTGATTGGAGAATTCCTCCATTTTGTTTCTTTCCTTCAGAACCAAAAAAGTTGAACAATTCATTAGGTTTTGAAGGTATATTTCGTGACAAAAAGATGTGATAATGTTTAGAAATGCTAGTAATTATCATTTTATTTCTTTGTTTCTCCAGAAGGAATTGATAATAATTAAGGTTGAGAAGTTCCACTTATTGTTTATCTTTAATTTCTTAGAAAGAATTCAGAAAAAGAATTTCTAGCAAGCTTCTTCAGTTACACTTCCTTTGTTTCCTGGAGAGAAGGGTGGTTTGAGGTTGAGAATTTTTTGTTTGCTAAAAAAATTTACGATTCTGCCGAGAAAGGAACTTTATCTCTTATATGCATTTATCATTTACATGTCTTGCATTTGAGTTTTGTGATTGATGAGAGTTTCTTGCATTGATGCAGGTTCTCCAGGTTGTTGGTATGCCAGTTGGACATCTTTACAGCAGATTGGTGCCACTTGTCCTTCTGCTCATAGACGGTAACTCTTGAGCTTGCTTTGCTTTATGAAAGACTAGTTTGCATTTTTCTGGTGTTGTATAAATAAATCTGCTAACCATAGTGCTGCTTGAGTTTACTTTAAATATGAACTAGATCAAAATCATTCTCAACTAGTGGTGGTACTGTCGACACAGGTAGCAATCCTATAGATGTGACTGATCCAAGATGGGAAATCTATTTATTAGTCCGAAAAGATCAAGAAGACCGTCATTTTCGGTTGCTTGGTTTTGCAGCTGTTTATCGTTTTAACCGATACCCTGATGGCAAGCGATTGCGTCTTGGTCAGGTTTGCTCTAGTCTGTGTGCCCAAACGTTAGAACCACAACTCGTAGTTTTTATGCAGATTAACTTACCTCATCATCATTCTTCATTTTAAAAACTGACAAAATACTTGTTTGGTGTTGCCAGATATTGGTTATACCTCCTTATCAGAGAAAGGGTTATGGTCGCCATCTTCTTGAAGTTCTCAACAATGTTGCAGTATCGGAAAATGTTTATGATTTAACCGTCGAAGAACCAGTGGATTCCCTTCAACACGTGCGAACCTGCATTGATGTAGAGCGTCTGCTTTCATTCGAACCAATCCAGGATGCACTTAATGCGGTTGTTTTAAAATTAAAGCATGAAAATCTCTCAAAGAAAAGCCAACCTATACAATTTAGACCTCCTACTAGTGTCATTGAAGATGCAAGGAAAGCTTTGAAAATCAACAAGAAACAGTTTCTACAGTGTTGGGAGATTCTTATCTACCTCGGTTTATTTCCTATCGACAAGTACATGGAGAATTACAGGATTATTGTTTCGAATCGTGTAAAAGCCGATGTCATTGGGAAAGAATCTGAAGGAGCCGGGAAGCGTATAATTGATATACCAACAGAGTTTGATCAAGAATTGTCGTTTGCAATGTTCAAATCCAACGGGGATGATGCTACTGGCATTGAGAAGGATGAAAATGAAGGCAACCTAGAGGAGCAGCTGAGACAACTAGTGGATGAAAGGATGAAGGAAATCGAGTTAGTCGGGGAGAAAATCTCTGTGCTACGTTCATAAAGATTGCGTTATCTTAAAACTACAGCTAATGGAGTTGTATCTGTAAATTACTGAGCCGTGCCTGTTCTATCTTAATGAACTTGGAATATGTTAAGTCTATTTAAGTGTAGTAAACCCGCATCTGTTTCCTTGCTGTTCTGACGTATTTGGTACAATATTCATTTTTGATTTCTTCACCATTTAATATTGCCCAATTTGACATGTTGAACGAGCGATAAAAATATCTCAGTGGGACCATCTTATGGCCTACCTAATGTGTTGCCCCAGTGATCTAGCATTTGACATTGTCTGGAGGCAGAATGGTGGAACTTTCTGCACTTATTCCCTTTGTGCAGAAAATTGTTTTATAGAATTGTACCAGAAATGTCACGTTGTGTGGGTCTCATGTTGTGATAAAAAAATCACCAAACCTTTCTATTGTGTTTTATCTGTTGACATTATGTGAAATACAATTCTTTACTTGTAGAATTGCTCTTCTGAAAGCACGCGTCTATTGAGGTAAGTTGATTTATTTTTTTTGAAAGGTTATGGAACCTTCAATGTTAAGACTTAAAATAGACCAACGGGGGGAGGACTAAGAATCAACATATTCCCAAAATTAGGACAATAACTTATTAGGTATGCAATCACATTCTTGCACAATTAAAATTAAATGTAATTTCAATTATAAATCATGCTAACAGAAAGCTTTGCCATTCTTTTTCAGCATATATGGTACTTTGAATTGATAAAATTAGGTACGATAAATTTCAAATTTTCTTCAATCTTGTCAATGTTACAGTCAGTTGTATATAAATATTATAACAAACAAGATAATTGACAAATTTTATATCACATTCTCACATTTTTCTTGAATAGATTTATAGAATTTTCCTTGCATTAACAAAGTAACGTTATTTAACATTATTAGTGTTACATTAGTCTAGGAGACACTAAATGACATTAAACGGTAAGTACAACTAAATGAATCACATAATTATATCTTTAATAAAGTCTACCCAGTGATGCTAAATAAGAATAATGAAATATTGTCGAATAATTTTCAATAATCTTTATTAAGAATTGACAGCCCAAACATCAGGTATTTGCAAAATTAACAGATCTTTGAAATGCCTAATCTTTCGTTATTTTGGTGCATCATATAGACACAACGCACTCCAATGATTATGTTACATACTTTTCTATAACTAGCAGAATAATATTTCCGACCATGGAAACAACCTTGTTACTTCTATTAAAACACGGTGTTTACGGTTACATTGCAAACAAAAAACCACTAAGATCCTAAATCTTGTGAATGCTGTAACCCGCATCTTCTGATTTTAAGCTCTCCCTCCAGCTCTCGAATTCAGATCCACCAAACACCACTTGTTTGATTCCAATACAGCTGTTCATTACAAGTCGAAAGAATTACAGAAAATAACAATGAAAAAATTGATAAAAAGTAGATATCTTATATGCTCAGGGATCCACAAATTTTATGAACAAACAACCAATCTGGATCCCCCAGCTTATAAGAAAGCTACTTTTTTGCCACACATGCTCAACATCTTACTCGGAGCTTATCTGTGTCAATGCATTGATCAAAATATCCAAGAGCAATGGTTCACTAGTGCCGATATCCACCCTGTCAATATAAGTCCAAGCAGCATTGATTCAAATATCTAGCAGAACAACTCGAAAACATTTTGAACCACTTACCATATTCTGGCTAAGTTATCTTGAAACTCGAGGTCCCCTATGTTATAAAATGAAGTCGGGTTAACATTTGCTCCCCGAATAGCATCATAGGTCGGTCTTTGGTCCAGTGGGCATTGTGACAACTAGGATAAACGGCCGAAAATGGTTGAGTTTACAAATAAAAGCTTCGACTCTACATTTCAGGACATAGAATATAAAGGAAGATTTGACGCGACTTTACTTGCATATTCATAGAATTGCATCCACCGAGACGTCCAACAATGTGCCACGATCGAATTGTCTGCAAACAGTTTATATCAACTAAAATACTGAATTCTTAGCAGACAAGTCACTGGAACTGGAGTAGTTACTTACATCACATAACAAAGAGACATCTTTCTCCAGAGGGGCATTATAGAACTCAAACCATATGTATGAATTTGAGAAATCAAATCTGGTCATAAAGAAGATACATTTGTAAGATTTCCTCAGGATGTCGTGTACATCAAAAGCAATGTGTACGTACACATGTAGCCCTCCAAATATCAACATATAAAGTTAATTCCTATGTGTGAAGCAGAATAACAAGAAACTCGACTTGACTGGAAAATGGGAAAATGAAGAAATAGAAATCGTAATAAACACTAACTATTTTGAGTATTATGTCATGTCTCCTACCATCCATCAGATCTGAAATTTTCTGTGAATCCTTATCTTTCTCCATTTTATAATTTTTTCATAAGAAACAGAATTTCATTAATTATAGAAGTAAACTACAACTGTTTAGAGGATAATGAGTCCTCCAATCACCAAACAATCAGAGTCTTGTCCAAAGACTAAAGAATAAAATACATTTTCTCAACTAAGGATAATTAACGAGAAAGGAATGCCCTTAAACTCTTTTTCCGTAGAATCCAAAAGGATGGTAAAAACTGGGATCTGTCCACTGTCCTTAAAGGAGATCCCACTAAAATCAACTTCCTGGAGGAGTCCATAACAGAGTCTTTTAACTGTGTCAACTGTAAAAAAAAATTATCCACACTTTCTGAACCATTCCAATGCATCACACACCACAAAGAAGAAAAAAAAGAAATAAGGACATTTCTTTTGATTTCACAAGTATTAATAGCCATGGAAACACTACAATTTTGCATAGGATGCAACATTCTCATATGAACTTATACTGGGGCAAAGATGGGATAGCTAAGCGAAGTGACTAGAGCAAGAGCACTGAAGAATAATCTGCAAGAGGATCTTGAGGACTATAACTTCAACAGCCTTTTGTCAAATTCAGAAGGGAATAGGTAAACGTTCTCAAGAAAAGTCAATTGTAAATTATAAAGTCTCCCTAACCCTCAGTTTCTTAGAAACTAAAATTCCAATTCATTACACCATTTTCACAAGTCTAAAATCTCTCTATCCCCCAATTTCTTAAAAAATGGAAATTCCAATTCTCTGTATCACATTTAGAGAGTGAACCAATAGAATTTATATAGACATATTAAGCAAAGAAAGATTTGAGTCTCTGAAATGAAGAAGTCATGATGCGAAACGACCCAGCCTTCCTCCTAGAAATGAATGCTATCCCCTTTCACACAACGCATGGAGTGAACTATGCTGGAGAAAAGAATCTTGAGATATAAACTTCATTGGGTTTCTGAAGGAACATCTTACAACTCCTGAATCCCAGATGTTTTGGTTCAAATAATACTTCTAACCACTCTACTCCATTAAGAGGATTGTACCACTAGAAATCACCAAAGACATTTTCCAACTGGCTATTTAAGTTTTTTGTTCCCTTGATTTGAAATATAATGGCAAAAGATTTCAACTGGAATGTAATTTGGTCTATGGCTAATACTATATGCCAACGCTACAGTGAATGTTCAATATAAGCATGTATCTAAATAATGCCAGTGAGGTCCCTAGCTCAAATATCCTGTTCTCTGAATGAATGTTCAAATAAACTTGAAATATTTACGTATGCCAGGATTTCAAGAACAGTGAAAAACAGAAGCTTTCTTATGGACTGAAGCTGAAATGAAAAGAACATCGAGAAAATTTGTATGAGAAAATTTCTGTCCAAACTTAAAGCAACGAGACAGCATCCAACGCATACTGAAAAAAGGATGCCAAAAATTTGATATGTATAAGTAGTGATGTAGTGTGAATCAACGCAGCATATTAAAGTATTTGGGGTATGATTCATTTGTAGTTATGGCAAAAACCAGCGAAGAAAAATTGATGTCATGTGGTCCAAAGTCAAATCTGAGTCTCTCACATCTAATTTTCGAGAAATGATAGCAAACAGAATTCAACTGAACGCTATTACAAGTTCAATCAGATGGTTTTTCTTATGTCAACATCGATACAGTTCCAACCAAATTGAACAATTGCCAGATGAACTCATTATCAATTCACTTCATTATTATCACACACACATGCATATTATAAAATTTACTGACTATGTGCAGTATGCATGTCAACTTACTTATTGAACGTCACTTTCACGGGTGTCGTTGAACCAGTTTTAGTATGCAATATCTTGTTCCTTTTCCTTCTCAATCTCTCTTCCATCTGTCACATCAATAGTGAACAAAAGCAATCATTGAATTATCAAGGAAAGAGTTAAAGAGAATGAAATCTTATCGAGGTAATCATATTTGTTTCAGTAAATATGCTCTTCGAAGTAAACATGTTAGTAACAGAACCATTTTCAAAAAGGTCTAAAGGGTAAGCTACATAACAGATATATTGATCTGCTTCTCCAGGAACGGGTTCAATATGAGTCACATAACTGTTACATAATTTTATTTTGTTTTAATAAAAAAGCATAGCAATCTGAAAAATGCTTAGCTTTTACTGCTTTATGTTGGATTCTTCAAAACCCCATGGACGTTGAGAAGAGATGCTAGGAAAAAAGATCTGTAATCTATTTCAGAAATTCACCCTTCTTTGCTTTTACTTACCAAGGTCAACAGAGAAAGAGCTCCCTTATTTTTATAAAATGAATCATTACATTAAGTTGTTTGATGGATGGGAAGCTACGTTGTAGGGAATTCAAATCCCACAAAGTGTAAGAAAAGATATAAT